CAGGTAGTCTTCAAGTATAGGCCTTTTTGAGTCCCAAAAAACGGTTAGCATCACGTTTCCCATGAAACATTGAGTCTTGAATTTCATCTTCATTTGTGATCCCGGATGTTTCCACGCCACACTCTGGCTTTTGGATTCTGGCTCATAGTGATGAACCCACATATGAATTTCAGCCCGTGACACATCTTCCAATCAGAGAAATCGGAACACTATTCTTTGTTAATCATTGGTGCACACTGCTAGCAGAGCGGCCATGTTTACACTGTCACAGCATCAAGGAAAATGATGCAATCAAGGTAAAACTTTGATCATGCGACCACAGTAGTACCAGCTCTAACAATGCATTCCTAGGAGGCAGTGTGACAAACCTAAAGATGTGTTATGGAGAAAGTGTGGATAATTTCTGACTTACCTTCATAATTTAGCACTCAGAACACCTACTGTGATAGTGGTTTCCGAATAAGTATTGATGTTCCCTCTGAAGATGATCCGTAAGGATCGAAACATGTAAGTGTGCTGAGTTTTCAAGTGGTAAAACTTAAATAGTCACACTGTATGGAGTTGTTTCTGTCTTTGTCTCACACACCTCATGATCTGAAACACGCTCATGTTTCCAAAATAATAAATTAACTGAAGAAATAAAATGAACATTGAAAGTATGATATATATATCTATGTATGTGTGTGTGTGTGTTCATAAGTTCATTGCTGAATATAATAATATTGCCAACATAATAAAATAACTGAAGGAAGATAATGAACCTTGAAAATCTTAAATNCATTGAGTCTTGAATTTCATCTTCATTTGTGATCCCGGATGTTTCCACGCCACACTCTGGCTTTTGGATTCTGGCTCATAGTGATGAACCCACATATGAATTTCAGCCCGTGACACATCTTCCAATCAGAGAAATCGGAACACTATTCTTTGTTAATCATTGGTGCACACTGCTAGCAGAGCGGCCATGTTTACACTGTCACAGCATCAAGGAAAATGATGCAATCAAGGTAAAACTTTGATCATGCGACCACAGTAGTACCAGCTCTAACAATGCATTCCTAGGAGGCAGTGTGACAAACCTAAAGATGTGTTATGGAGAAAGTGTGGATAATTTCTGACTTACCTTCATAATTTAGCACTCAGAACACCTACTGTGATAGTGGTTTCCGAATAAGTATTGATGTTCCCTCTGAAGATGATCCGTAAGGATCGAAACATGTAAGTGTGCTGAGTTTTCAAGCGGTAAAACTTAAATAGTCACACTGTATGGAGTTGTTTCTGTCTTTGTCTCACACACCTCATGATCTGAAACACGCTCATGTTTCCAAAATAATAAATTAACTGAAGAAATAAAATGAACATTGAAAGTATGATATATATATCTATGTATGTGTGTGTGTGTGTTCATAAGTTCATTGCTGAATATAATAATATTGCCAACATAATAAAATAACTGAAGGAAGATAATGAACCTTGAAAATCTTAAATATGTAAATATTCACAAGTTCAATGCTGAACACAATAATATGGCCAGCATAATAAAATATCAAGCAATATAATGAACCTTGAAAATCTTAAATATGTAAATATTCACAAGTTCAATGCTGAACACAATAATATGGCCAGCATAATAAAATATCAAGCAATATAATGAACCTTGAAAATCTTAAATATGTAAATATTCACAAGTTCAATGCTGAACACAATAATATGGCCAGCATAATAAAATATCAAGCAATATAATGAACCTTGAAAATCTTAAATATGTAAATATTCACAAGTTCAATGCTGAACACAATAATATGGCCAGCATAATAAAATATCAAGCAATATAATGAACCTTGAAAATCTTAAATATGTAAATATTCACAAGTTCAATGCTGAACACAATAATATGGCCAGCATAATAAAATATCAAGCAATATAATGAACCTTGAAAATCTTAAATATGTAAATGTTCACAAGTTCAATGTTGAACACAATAATATGGCCAACATAATAAAATAACTGAAGGAAAATAATGAACCTTAATACTGATGTTTATATAGTTATGTTTATTAGATCAATGCTGAACACAACAATATGGCCAACATAATGCAATGACTGAAGGGGTATACCCATAATAACAAATTAAGATGAATAAAATATGTAGACACTAATAAGTAAAAGTTCCTACCTAGGAAGTATTTAATAAATTTAATTACAAAATATACACTGAATCCTGACATTGATTCTGCTCCTTGGTGTTTCACACTGAATCAGATAACCTGAATATTGCAAGTCAAGTATAAAGTAATGCCACTTCACTCTTACCCACATATAAAAACGAACCATTTGAGTCAGAAAAGAATTTCCCACACAATTCTTGATTGAAATCTAATTATTTTCAGATAGAGGGCAGAATGAACTCTGACCATCTTCTGAGAATGATGTTCTAATATACGGGGAAGAAGGAAAGAGGTCTCCGAAGCAAGAAAGAGATGGAGCTCAAGATCAGAATAGGTTTCTTGTATGTAATCTGACTGTAGGTGACAATGTTATCAACAAATTACTCAAAACCAGAGGTTTGAGACAAGAGCATGTAAAGACATGTTAGTTGTAGTTGCTTGTCACCTGGGTTACTTTCTCCAACTTATGAAACAACTATTGATGCTCATGTGAGCAACTGGAATATATTATTCCAGTAATTCAATAACTGCTCTCTGCAGATTTCCAGGGCTGGTGTGGGCAGGCCATTACAAGGCAAAGATGAAGAGGCATTACTTTCCTAATGACTTACTGATGTGTCAGTATTTTAATCTTCTTCCTCTTTGTGGCCCTCTGCTGGCTGATTCAGTCATCAACCTGTTTGTTCGTTTACACCACCAAGGAATGTAAATTCTTGTGAGACATCTCACAATACCATCTATTATTCTTTGGTAGTGAAGTGAACAACCAGTAAACCTAATCCACTTCAAGTCAATGGTGCTCTTAATGGCAGCTGTGATATGCTGCAACATGAATTACCTGCCATCATAGATTATATTAGAGTTACAGTATACCAACAGTCTCCACACCAATGTCTCAGAAATATATGAAGACATTGGCTGATAGCAGTACTTCAGATGTCACACATGTCTTGCGTGCATCACAGCTGACACCATGAAGCAGCTGTCTGGCAATGGAACCACTGACATAGGCTACTGAGAACACTTCCTTGTCACCAGCATGTACTGCAGCAACCATGTCCTTCTGTACTTGTTGAGTAACATGGAAACTCAGGAACTTCAACAGGGGTTTCCTTGCCACGACTTGTGGACAGATTTGGTGAAGAAGCATCAGGTGCCCTGAACAATGACTGTAGGTTACACACAACAGTAGCACCATCATCCTCATAACTAGTTCCGCACAGACCTCTGATAGCAAGTGCACTGATGATGTTAGTCTTTAGGGCATCTACAAACTGTCCCACAGTTAATATTAGGGTTCATTTCACCGACCACACAACACGTTTTTATTATTGTCACACTACATGTTTCGACCTCAAGAGGTCATCCTCAGGTGTACGAACACAGTTGCACAATCACACACAATCACATTATTATTGTAGTGTGACAATAATAAAAACGTTATGTGTGGTCAGTGAAATTAACCATAATATTGATTAAATACACAACAGGATGCAAGAAACAATTAAAGTGTCCCACATTTGGATTATTTTTCAAACCAGACTATGAACAAATAGCTTCAAATGTGTTCACAAGGTGATCATCAAATAGCTGTTGCCAGGTATTCACCACAGCACCCCACTGAAAAATCATTAAAAAGGAAATTAGTGGGCTTCCTTATATGATGGACTTCTTCAGATTTGAAAATAACAAACTTTACTTGAAAGGGACTGCCATTTTAAAGATTTTGTATATTTCATTAAATTATTCCTCATAGCAGTCGCCACCACCTTATTCTCTTATAAATCATATTACTGACAGTGTGATCTGCTTTTCAAACATTTAACATATCCTACATAACTTGTGTACTGATAAGATTATATTGTAGGATCCTGTTGCATTCTTCCATTTTATTATAAATCTAATTTTACAGTCTTATGTGAAACGATTTATTAACTTTAGGTTTAAAATTTAAAACTTAAAAAGTTGCACATAAGACAGTAAAATAAGATTCATAATAAAATTGTATATTGATGTACAGTTTCATAAGTAATGAATGATGACAATGACATTTGTTTGATCACAACTGGGTTCTTGGGACAATTACTTAAAAAATTAGCTCTCATTATTCTCGCTAGCCACTCCTCTCATAACAGAACATAATTCATAGTATAGAGTGCAGTGGTCCTTACCTGTAGCCAATACAGTGTTGTGGCTTGCTGCAATGATTCATATGCCTGAGTTCCCCACCAGAAGCATTTATATTTACAGGGCTTAGAAGAAACGAGGGTTTTTTCACTGAAAAATTTGGTGGCTGCTGTTGGTAATGGTTGCACTGCGAACATTTTAAAGGAAGTGGAAGAACCATGTGCATGGATAGGATGCCTTGCTTGCTGGATGACAAGCACCCAGTAGCAGCACATATTTTCGTTTTCATGTCTATACTGCAAGAAGCAATACAAAAAGTATAACACCATCACGGTACTCTTAGAACTCCTTCACATTCAACAGTCAATCTTTAGGATAAACCGAAAGTTTCAGAACATATCATAAAACAAATATCGTTTAGACGACGGTTCACAATAGCCTCAAAAATTTTAGGCTTGAAAGAATTCCATCTTTCTAATTTAATTTGTGGTAGTAAGCATAATATTCATATACACAAATAATATGTTTAATATGGTGCTGTAATTTCGTTTGCAAATGTATACTTTAGTTTCGCAACCACATCAAATCAAAATTCATACATACAAATTTGTCTATATTGATCCACCATAACCGCATATAATTGCGGGAATTCAAATTGGTTTGTTAAGGCTCTCCGATTGGTCGAGACCTGTGTGCAGTATCTGCCTTCGCTCTTAGAGGCAGTTGTTACTGTGTTTCCCTTTCTCTTATCTCAGTTCACCCCTCCGCTAAAGACTGCACAGTAAGACTATCCTCGTTCCGAGACTAGGAGGTGGGATGGGGTCACGTGACGAGGGTAGTACGTCAATATTATTAGGTGTGGGAATGGAATCTGGGAATGGCAGCCGCCATGACGTCACGCCGAGAGTGAGTTGACCTTCAGCACGGCTCACTATCACCCCCTTCACCGAAGAGCACACTTGTAGAATGTCACTCCACAGAGAAGATTCTCTAGAGTTCCCATGCTCATACACATATCACTACACAGTGCACCTAGTTTCAGTCAGAAACATACCGAGGACACATACTAGAGATAGGAGTCCCTTTTCCATGCATGGCTCCCGGCGGTCCTACTCACTCTTCCCACCCTTCACTTAGCCAGTTTCATGCATGACACCGTTCGGTGGAAAGGAGTCCAGACAGTTGGCCGCATATAACTGCCAACGGTGCACTCGGCATTGGCAACACACGCGTCTTCCACACACAAACGTCCAGTCCATCCATGGTTCACCAACGAGATATTTTAGTCGTCACTGGCCCCTTCCGCTGTCCGATAAAAGTGCCCAGACGGACAATAGGGTCGGAGCCAGGAGAGCTTTCACTTCGATGCGAGGCGACCCGGCTTACAAGCTTGTGATACTGGTGACGCTCCAGAGGGGGGTGTTCTTCCGAAGATCTTTATTTCCATTGTGCCTAGGATAGGGGTAGTAAGGGACTATGATAACCTCCTGCTCGAAAAGAAGAGTACAACTTAATACCACGTAATTACATCATTTAGCAAGACCCGAATAACATACAACTCAACTAAACAAAACCAGTAATATAACCAATACGATCACTTGACCAAAAAATGTCTCTTTAATTGAAAGACATGTGCCTTTCTGATGATTACACCTGTATCTGGATTTGCTAACTGAACTGTTACAGGAGACACAAATCTCACAATCTTTAGTGGTATATACCACTTATAGTCTAACTTGGCGGAATGCCGTCGGGACTTTGAACTTAACGGTACACTCGTACTAGGACCAAATCGCCCACACGAAACTGCTCGCCTTCTCCCTCCATCATATCTACCAGCAACCCTGGCGCGGGCCTTCCTCAAATTATCCAAGGCCGTCTCCCAGAATTGCTCCATACTCTTAGCAATCTTGTCTAGCTCAAGTTCGAACAATTTCCATTTAAGCCCCAGGGGATGGAGTCCCTGCAATCGAGTCATGCCATGCTGAGTTAATAAAGGCTAGAGCTAGCGACGAAAGATTTTCGTCCCAATGAGTAAGTTGAGAGTTATGATAGATAACCAGGGCCACCGTGAAGCGTTCAACTTGCGACGTCTGGGGATAAGAGGGAGAGGTGGTAACATGTCGAATTCCCCTGCAAAAACACAAGTTGTAGAAGCTTCTCGATTATATACACCAGCATTGTTCGACACAACAGACCAGGGGTCGGGGAACTTTTTTACTTATTACCCCAAAATATATTTATTTACGCCGACGTTAACCCCTTGATTTGAAAGAGAGAAAATCATAGATTAGTCAAATTCAAAAGGTTTATTGAATCTATTTATATGGAGAATACAATTATAAATATAAAAAGTATAAAATAAATGCGATAAAATACGAGTAAATTAATATCCTCATTATGAAACAAAAGGATTTCTTAGAAAATTTTTTCCACTTCAAGTTTTGGAGAAATTATGTTTTTCATTTTTGATACAATAACATCAAAATTGGGACATTTTGATGTCAGAGCAATTTGCATACTGTCTTCGGGGTCCAATCGATTTCTCTGCTTTGTTTTTATGTTCAGTAGAGTGGAAAATCCTTGTTCGCAAAGGTAGGTTGTTGCAAAGGGCAGCAACTTTTTGACTGCCTCCTCATGTGCAATTCTGAAAGCATTTGCAGCTCTTGACATCCAAAAATATGACAGATCTGCTTGTTTTCAAATTCAATACATGCTTCATTATTGGATCGAAGTTCAAGAAGTGCCTCTGCCAAACCTTGAGGCTCTTCTGGTACATCAGCAATTTCAGATTTAAAGGGATCTACAACCCAACTGACATTGTGTGAATCAAGATCTGGAAAGTAATCATCGAACTGCTTTTTGAGTTTGGTAAGATGCCTTATAACTGTGTCCTTGATGTCGTCAAAAGTAATATTTTCACAATCTTCCAAAAAACAAAGCCAACCTTGAAAAGGTAGCAATCTTGTTTTGTTCTGCTTTCTGTCTCCAATATAAAAGCTTTGATCCAAACGCTGAAATCTTTTCTCTGGCTGAAATTATATTGATGTTTTATCCTTGCAATTCTTTGTTCAATGCATTCACATACTCAAAAATGTCAGCTGGTATGCGAGATGTGCAACCCACAAGGAGTTTGTAAACTTATCTGCGAGAACATGCTTTTGATCAACCATAAAAATTTCAAGTTCAGTTTTGAGAACCCACACTCGGTTCAGAACATTTCCACGTGACAGCCACCTCACTTCTGTATGATAAAGTAGGTCTGTATATTCAGCCTCACCATCTGTACATAATTCACGAAATAGTCGCATGTTTAGTACATGTCCATTGACAACATTGATAACATCATGCATGATGGCTTCCAGTGCAGCTTCCAAACGTTTCACAAGCAGTGCCTTGCGATGGATTATACAGTGGTTAACTTCAATTTTTTTATTTTTCTCTCTTGCTAAAGCCGAAAAACCACTAACGTGACCCAACATAGCTGGAGCTCCATCAACAGACAAAGCAATGCAGTCTTCCCACTTTAAATTAGCATTATTAAAGTATTCATTAATTTTATTGAAGACATCAATTCCACGAGATCGCAACTTGAGGGGAGAACAAAACAACAACTCCTCTTCAATTGCATGTAAACCTTTGTAACGAACATACACCTTCAGCTGCGAACTACTACTGACGTCTGTAGTTTCATCAAGCTGAATAGCAAAGCATTTACTCTCGTTTATTGAAGAAATAACTTGTTCCTTCACATTTTCTGCTAAAACAGAAATTCTTTCTTTCACAACTTTTGCAGACAAGGGCACTGAATTTAGTTTCGCAGCTTCTTTCTGACCACACCTAATCTCTGTCATTTTCAAAGCTGCTGGTTTAACCAATTGCTCACCAATAGTATGTGGTTTCTTGTTTCAGGCAATCAACCAGGCCACTTCAAAGCTGGCCTTTGATGCTGAACGTTGATCGAATGTACTTCTCAAGTTGCTGTGCAGTCCTTTTTTTTTTTTGACAGACATTTCCAAATTTGCAAAGTATTCCCGTGGTTTGGACAGGTGTGGGTGCAAATTATTCAAGTGTTTCTTCAACTGACTCTTTTTGAAAAATTCTGCAGTCAGTACTTTCAAACAGACAACACACTGTGGTTTCATTATTCCTTTGTCTTCTATTTGTGTAAACTCATAATTGAGGAACTCTTCCTGGTATATTCGTTTTCTAGTTGATGTCATCTGAGGGGTAAAAAAAGACAGTGATTCAAAAAGTTTTAACCCTTCAGCACACGCGTTTCTTATAGTTACACGAGGACACGCGTAATGTGGAGGAAACCTCCGCATGTACAATATGTGTAAGTCAGTACTGGAGGCCGCGCCACAGCTCAGGCGGTTAGTTGCACATGTGCTATAACACGAAATTACCGATTCAGTGTGACAAGATCAAACTGCTACTACTGCACATAAATGATAGTGCGTCGGTTTCATGAAAAACTTCATTTCGCTTGCTTATTAAATAATGAATGAATTTATTGATAGTAAATCCATGCTAACAAGACACTATCTTACCTTGGTCGTCGAAGTTTTTTAGCATAAGATAAAACAATAGGTGACTAGACCAAAATGACGTATACAACACGTGCGCTTCTGCTGGCTGCTGAGCCACAACTAACGCTATCGTCAACAAGTCCACAACATGCTGGGCATGCTGGGTGCGTTTATCTATAGAAGTGTTTAGTGATTACGTCACGCTGCCATGATGGACTCTTAAACAATTTCCGTAGCAGCTGTTCTTACGGATGGTTATACGCCGGAAGAAAAATTTCTGTCGTAACAAGGAACGCGTTTTTTATATAATTTCATTTATGTCTATTGAGTCCTCATTACCCCAAAGAATTTCATTTTTACCCCACTTGGGGTAATTTACCCCGGTTTGCCGACCACTGCAATAGACTGTGGTATTAAGAATGATGGAAAGAACTTCTCAACTAGGCAGGTCTTCACGACCTCTGATGAAACTCTCCTGATAGGGTATGTGCAAACAAACTTCAAGAAACCGTCTAACACCAACAGCACGGCGATATTTCCTCTTCGACTCCTAACGATAGGCCTCATGAAATCAATAAATACACGCTCCAGAGGGCTTGTCACCACTTCGCTACTATGGAGGCCCACCATGGAATCAGGAGCCAGCTTGGATCTCGCAATCCTGACATTGCCTCACGAATGCACAAACATCCCGTCTCATGCCTTTGGCATCGGGAATGCATCGAACACAATTTTCTTGTTCAACCGACGGTAATCCACTACCATCCGGTAAACACCACTCAGTTTAGAACAAGAAACGCTGGACTGGCGTACTGTGAGTAGCTTTTCTTTGCTACTCCATGGTCCATCAAACCGTGGACGATTTATCTCAATATTTGTATACGCGGGGGCAAACACTGATATGGTCTGGAGCGAACTGGAGTCCTATCACTCAAATCCAGATGGCAGAACTTTCCCTTCACAGTTCCCTGCCTATCGGAAAACGACCGGAAATCTAAGTCTCAAAGTGGAAAGTTTTGCGGAATTGTCCGACCCAGCCAACAGCGATCCACATAGAAGTCTCGCCAAGACATCATAGGAACATGGAAATTCTTGACAATTACACCTGCCAAGGTCAAGAGACTCAAATTCAAACTCTCTCTCTGGCTGAAATAGAAAGTTGTAATGACGGGCGGGAAAATCCATTCGCACCTTGGCGAACGTCAAATAATCGACGCCCAAATTGCACGGAACGTGGCAGTCGTCTAGGAAAAAATTCTAAATTTCCACGAAAAGGAATGTATCTTGATACCCAACATAATGACATCCGATTGAACACACGATTCCCCATTCGCCATCAAATATTCTTCCATCGTCTCAAAAGTATAAGGCTGTCTCAAACTCTCTACATAATCTATGAAACCTGGAACATACTACAATATTTATAGTGGACGTAAAAGCATTTTTCCGAAATACTGATATTTCAAAACACTCTCAATTATCTTGATTTACTCTTACAATTTCCACAAGTTCCGCAATTTTTCTCTTTTCCAATGTTCCCATTATTAACTTAGTGCTCAAATAGTAGATAGGGAAATTACTGATTACGATCTGAACCTAACAACATATCATTCAACATAAAGAAAAAAACGAACACATCACTATATATGTTCTAGACTAAACTATAAAATACAATTACTAGACTGTCAGCTGTAACAACTCGTGCAATCCTGTAAACAATGTGACTCTCTAAGTAGTTTAATAGATGGAAAGAAAATAATTCCCTAATTCCCTATACTACCTCATAGCACATGTAAGCCTGGAAGATTAGATGGCAAGAATACAATCCTTTGTCTATCACACCGAAATATACATCTAACTCAGGAATCACTTGCCAACATTCTTCATCCTATAACACATACTCTACACAAAACTGTGCACATTTAAAACTGTCATTTAACACGGTTGCCAGCATAACACCAACGACAACATGTGCTTCACTTATCATACCACCTTGATATAAGCAAGAATTCTTCATACAAACAAGATTTGTACATAAAAGGGGAAACTTTTGAACCCACTGTGGCTGAATGGAAATCTTAACGTTCTTGAAATCACTACAATAACTCACTACACATCACTGTATATATTACACACACATATACAATGTAACACTTGACAATACTGTAATCAAAACAAAACACACTATACACACGACTCTGTCACACAGAACTAAGACATAAATTCAAAAAAATAACTTCTTGAATGGGAACTAGAAATTCACTTTACACCCTATTCTTACAAGTACTTATAATAATACAAAAAAAACATATCATTCTGACTAATAACCTACACACACGTGTAATATTCAGAGGCTACATACAAAAACAACACCATCTTTTCTGTCATACCATATATGCACTCATTAAATATAATTCACTCTCTATCCATATAACCACTAAACACATTTCTTCCAAACCACTCCACATAATTCACACGATATTATTATTAGAGCAAGAATAACCTCAAAGACACATTGCCTCACTACACACCCACTATTCTTAAATGAATTTACTTTCGTTAAATCAATTTTATCATGTATTCTTCCTTCACACATACTTCACTTTCATGATTCAGAGGGAAAACACTTCGATTTCGTTGTGGAACAGAGGAAAAACATGTTTGTAAAATTTCGAGCACTGTCCGTTACTCGGTCCGGGATAATACACACATTAACACCTACCATCTGCACTCTCTCTGAATCTTTTAACATATACTTTCAGGCACACAATTAATCAAAACATGTACATATATATATATATATAAACATACACATAAACCACTCTTATTATTTATAAATACTTCTTCATACCAGGAAAGAAACCAAACTTGATGGTGGACACCGCATATTTAGGTCACACTGACAGGGCGGCCAACCTCTTAACAAGAATGAAACAGAAACATTCGAATATCAGTCGGATTACAGGACGGTAATTTTTCACCCTAGTTTTTACCCATTTTCGTGTATAATATAATTCTACTTCCTATCCACGGAGGGAAATTCGGGCGAAACAAATGCCCACCACTCACTCAATTGGTCGCGTATCCATACACGAGAAACAAGAGAAAGATTTCACTGACAACAAAGACTTTTCGTTATAAAGTTATGCCATTGGAGAGAAGCATAATGCCATAATATATTCACTAATCACTTATATTACCGTGGGGGATTCGCAAACTCTTGAGGTGGGAGCGGCGTTCTCGAAACAATCTAAGTTATCACGTAGCAATATAACCTCGGAATATAACAACATAAATTTAATTATGGGTGGAAACATAGTTAAGACGCTCAATTTTTTACATAACGTCATATTTCGACTTATATTCCATGTTACGACAGTCCTATATTATGTTCGGTTAAATAGCAGCTTCGCAAATGATGTCACCCTTAGGTGTGCGCAATGAACTACTGCGCACCCACCTGTGGCCCTTGGATCGCTGATGTTAGGTTAAGTTAGATTACGTAAGGTTACGTTAGGTTACGTTGGTCAGTTTAAGTTTGCGCAGTAGACTACAGCGCATCCATCTGTACCTTTAAAGGGGGCTAAGTTCGGTAATATATGCTAATGTATTGTTGTGATTGTACATTACGATAGATTTGCGCAAACGACTTCTGCACATCGTTATGATCAGCTAAGCACGGTTTGGCCATCGGCAATATCTTACGGTCGAATGCCTCTGATAGCGTAGTAAATCATTATATATTTATTTTCCGAAATTTCTCACGTCATATTGCTTATATTGCATATATTTTTCTGTTAAACTCTCTACATAATTTATGAAACCTGGAATATACTACAATATTTATAGTGGAAGTAAATGCATTTTTCCGAAATACTGATATTTCAAAACGCTCTCAAGAGCATGTTATATCAATTATCTTGATTTACTCTTACAATTTCCACAAGTTCCGCAATTTTTCTCTTTTCCAATGTTCCCATTATTAACTTTTCTATGGTTTTCGACATATGTCAAGGACATACATATACTTTATATGAAAGGTATCCACCCCACAATACTAGTGCTCAAATAGTAGATAGGGAAATTACTGATTACGATCTGAACCTGACAACATATCATTCAACATAAACAAAAAACGAACACATCACTATATATATTCTAGTCTAAATTATAATGTACCATTACACGACTGTCAGCTGTAACAACTCATGCAATCCTGTAAACAATGTGATTCTCTAAGTAGTTTAACCTTTAAGTGCCGAAGTGCCCCGTTTGTGCCAGTGGTGAGTAAGGTCGTCGTGGCCAAAGTACCCCGTTTTGGCCCGTCAGGCATTTAAATTCCGCTAGGGGAAGCGCGCGCACCCGCCGCTAGTAGAAGCGCATGCACAGTCCTAAATGTTTATTTTTTAAATGTAGTAATTACCAGACAGACTTGAGTAAAGCCCTATAGAAACAATTAAAATGATACCCAACTGAACAACAACAAAAAGAGTATACGTATGAGTTATGCCCAAACTCATCCACAAGCCACTACTTTTATTGCAGATTCTGCAGAATAATTAGTTAAAAATATATAATAAAATTTGATGTACATACCTTTTTTGTTGTTATCTGCTTGATGTATATATAGGCTGAAATAAAACTACAGTATTCGATTTCACTAAGCACACACAGAAAACAGACCGCACTCTGAATCTCAGCCGCGATGCAGCTGACTGTTCAGGCCCATAGAAAGGGCAATAAGCTTTTGTAGCTATAACGGAAGGTCTTATCACTGAAGAAGGGACCCCTCTAGCTTTCTCTTGAATAGCCATTCTTTCATTCTTCTGACCTTCAGTCAAAAGATTCGAAAATCCGAAGAGTGTAAGTAGTGCTAGCAGAAGACCAAATGATTTTATGGCTTCCATCTGTTTTATGACATCAGGGACTGCTAAAATTTGTCAATTGTTACAAAGAGAAATGAATTTCTAACGCAGAACAACTCTGTGAAGAACTGAGAAAACATTTATGCAGTACTCATCAAAATTAAAAGACAAAATATTGAAAATAGAGTACAACTTGTATAAAAAATTTCAAATCTTCCGTTATAATATGCGACAGTATGTTCTTTGCTGATACAAACAAAATTAATTTTATCCGTTTATCATAAAAATTGAGTTAGATACAGCATTTTTAAACACAAAGCTTAAATTGTTTAGGCACACCAACAGAAACGTACATTTAAACGCAGAGTAGCAACGGGCATTTAAATAAATTCCGGCCAGCTCAAGCTTACAGCTATTTCAGAAGTCCGGCGTTTAAAGGTTAATAGATGGAAAAAAGAGAATTACTTGATCCCCTATACTACCTCCTACCACATGTAAACCTGGAAGATTGGATGGCAAGAATACAATCCTTTGTCTATCACACCGAAATATACATCTAACTAAGAAATCATTTGCCATCCTTCTTCATCCTATAACACATACTCTAAACACCACTGTGCACATTTCACACTGTCATTTAACACGGTTGCCAGCATAACACCAACGACAACATGTGCTTCACTTATCATACCACCCTGTTATAAGCAAGAATTCTTCATACAAACAAGATATGTACATAAAAGGGGAATCTTTTGAATCCACTGTGGCTGAATGGAAATCTTAACGTTTTTCAAATCACTACAATAACACACTACACATCACTGTATATATTGCACACAAATACACAATGTCACACTAGAAAATTTAAACTTGACTTTACACTTGACAACACTGTAATCAAAACAAAACACACTATACACACGACTCTGTCACACAGAACTAAGACATAAATTCAAAAAATAACTTCTTGAATGGGAACTAGAAATTCACTTTACACCCTATTCTTACAAGTACTTATAATAATACAAAAAAACATATCATTCTGACTAATAACCTACACACACGTGTAATATTCAGAGGCTACATACAAAAACAACACCCTCTTTTCTGTCATACCATATATGCACTCATTAAATATAATTCACTCTCTATCCATATAACCACTAAAACACATTTCTTCCACACCACTCCACATAATTCACACGATATTATTATTAGAGCAAGAATAACCTCAAAGACACATTGCCTCACTACACACCCACTATTCTTAAATTAATTTACTTTCGTTAAATCAATTTTATCATGTATTCTTCCTTCACACATACTTCAGTTTCATGATTCAGAGGGAAAGCACTTCGATTTCGTTGTGGAAGAGAGGAAACACATGTAAGTTTTGAGGTTTTCACGGTGATGACTATGAAGAAAGTCGTCTTCTGGGTTTAGGCACCGTGTGTTCTTCGTTTTGGCCGACGTTTCGGAGGAACATATCGCCTCCATCTTCAGAGCAGTTGAGTGGCTTGGAATGCAGAGAGCAGTAGCTGTAGTGATAGGAAGTGAAAGGCGCTGATTATATACAAAGTAGGCAGGGGGGTGGTTGGGGAGAACGGACCAATAGGAGCAGTGAAGAACGATTAAGACTATATATGGTGTTGTGTGCTAAGTTAGGGGGGAAACGGCCAGTGAATCCAGGAAACTTGAGTTCAATAGCACTAGGAAGTTGTGGTAGACAAGAAGAACCGGTTGGTTGGGGACAGGCTACTGACTACAATGACATGATTTCAGGGGACAGGCTACTGACATCAATGACATGACGAAGAACTGGTGTGGCTTGTTGGATTTCCCTTGACGGAAGAGATGAGAGGCTTCCATAACTTGTTGAGACTGAATGCTGTTTCCTTGTTCATGTTGTTCGGATGGAGCTCAATCTCAACGGCCTCCATGATTATGCGATCTATGTAACGGCTCTTACTGGTGATTATGGCGGTTTCGTTCCCCCCCCCCTTAGCACACAACACCATATATGGTCTTAATCTCTCTTCACTGCTCCTACTGGTCCATTCTCCCTAACCACCACCCTGCCTACTTCGTATATGAGCAGCGCCTTTCACTTCCTATCACTACAGCTACTGCTCTCTGCATTCCAAGCCACTCAACTGCTCTGAAGATGGAGGCGATATGTTCCTCCGAAACGTCGGCCAAAACGAAGAACACACGGTGCCTAAACCCAGAAGACGACTTTCTTCATAGTCATCACCGTGAAAACCTCAAAACTTACATGTGTTTCCTCTCTTCCACAACGAAATCGAAGTGCTTTCCCTCTGAATCATGAAACTGAAGTATGTGTGAAGGAAGAATACATGATAAAATTGATTTAACGAAAGTAAATTAATTTAAGAATAGTGGGTGTGTAGTGAGGCAATGTGTCTTTGAGGTTATTCTTGCTCTAATAATAATANTTTGATGTTTAACAGTACTTTGCTACATGTTTCGGCTTTTTTGAAAGTCAACATCCATCAGGCAAATACACAATTAATATATTCCTAAGCTTCTGAATTGAATACTATATAATTCTGTAGAGTATTGTTGGATTTTCAACAATATACCGTAATATAATAATATAAAACACGATTTTAAATGAGATAAGTTACATAATTAAAATGTAATTTAGAACTATGTCCTATTAAAGTAGGTTGTTGCAATCGTAGCATTTAAGTTATAGTGTTTTTGCAGACATATGGCGATAGTTTTCTTCCTCTTCACAAAGAGCCTGACATTGACGTCAATAAGAAAACAACTGAAGTGGAATCAATTCTACGAGTCATTACGCTTAGAGCAAGAATATATGGGAGGCCACATCCTTAATGTTACAATGAAATCTGTGATTCGTGCAACACAGCGCTGGATACTAGAAAACTACTACTTTGACTTCTCTAATAGGGTCCTTAAGAGCTCTTATGATTAAAAGAATTACGTGCAATGCAACTCAAAAACCCGAAGCTAACAGTATGAACCACCATGCTCCATAGCAGAAACCATTCTAACTTGCTTCACAGACATTAATATTTATCATTCATCACAACACCTATCTCCATTTTGTCACATATTTATTATCTACTCATCACAAGACAAA